GAGGATCTACTTTCATGCATTAAGATGTTTACTTCTAGTTTAGCTGCTCAAGTAATAAGTCAGGTTTTTCATGTTTCTCAGCTGAAACTAGGAAAGGTGCAATTGTGCCATTTGTTCCCACAAGCCCTCCTCCCCCATGCAAAAAACAACAAAACATCTTCTGCAAAAAACAAAGGGGTTTGTACTTGAAAACGATGGTGGTTAGTGCTTTGACATACCTGTGAGATAACAGATTCCCTTACATGGGAAAATAACCTTCTGCACATATACACACAAATACATCTGTATTTTGTAAAACTGAACATCTAAGAAAATGAAAAGGTGGAAAGGGTGAGAAAAATCTACTTTAATTTTCAAGGATCCCTATTAAACTTGCTGCTCTCTCCTCAGTTTATGATCAGTTTTGTGTTAGTGTCCTTTTGAAGGTTCTCATTTTTGTTACTGGCAGTATATATGTAGGATCCTAAATAAAAAGAAGTAACTGTTACTGAATGGATCTTGATAAATTCCTGCATGAGATTGTCTTAGAGTTGATGAAGATGGAGCACTGGATAATATGCTGCAGGAATCCTGTCCCATACAAGCTTTCTTTCTGAAAGTTTGTTTGATTCAAGTTATTCCTGTTTTCCAGATTATCAGGTAGTTGAAAGAGATCAGTGTTCTACAAACTCTTTCTATTGTTGCTGATTAAAGACTACAAAGGAGAAGAGTATTTTTTTCTCTTAGGTAGCTACTCCTGACAATTTTTTTTCAGAAGCTGGGGAAAAAAGCAGGACAGAAGAAAGCTGTAGCCCCTAATGGTCCTTGTGAAAGTCAAATACTTGTTTAACAAAAGCTATTCCTTAAATCCTAGGGATTTACATACTTCTGTCAGTAGTGGTAAGAAGCCAGGATTTTTAACACGTAAGCTTCTAAAATGACGTTTGTCGTACTTTAATCAACTCTCTGTATTTGGATCATAGCTCTTAGAAAATTATTCTAAACGGAAACAATTACTACACAGAAACGTTTTATTTACTCATTTGTATCTGTGCTTTATATGACTTAAAAAAAAATATTACCAGCATTAGCCACAAGATGGCCACATTTGCATAGGATTTTTAAAAACAGAACCTTCCTCTTTCCATCTGGTTGGCTATATACCATAAATATACATTATTTTTAAAGGAATAAAAAGTCAAAGAAGACTATAAAGCTCTAATGTATAATTTAGTAATGATGTTACAGTTAAAACGTGACTGGTTTTCTTTTGAGTATTTATGTGGCAGTATGATGGAAACACTCATTCAAGAAGAAGTGTTCAGAAAAGATTTAATTTCTTATTTCAGAGGTGCTTTCTGAGCACTGACAGATTGACAATTGAGATGGTGTCAACAAGGCTGACAGATGGAACTAAGTTATAGTCTTTCTAGAAACACCTGTTTGGCAGCCTTAGTTAAGTTGAGGAGATTGAGTTCTTCCTCTTGCTTATTGTTTTAATTGTGTTCCTCATTCCTCATACTTACTTCAGGAGCTCTTGAAAAGGCATAATTACTTTTTTGAGAAAAAGCGTACAATATTAGATGCAATAAGCTAGATATTTGTGAGTGGCTGACTAGATTCTCCTTTCAGACCAGTCTGAGTGTGTCAAAGCAATGCCTCTAGGAAGACAGTGCAATAACTGACTTGAAAAGAGTAGAATACAGCCTAGTTGCTGTATTGCAAAACTGGTTGAAAACTATTAGTCAGCTCTTGAGCATTGTTTGAAATTTTATCTCTGTAATGTAGAGATCTGAAGAGATTGATATATTAAAACATTGTTTTCTGCCTTGATCATATTGGCAAGTGTTTATACTTCTGGATATTTTATTGCTTTAGCTTGATCTGGAGCATCTCCTCTCATTCCAAGAATGGCAGTAGTTATTTAATCCCTATTTGTGAGCTGTAATGTCTTAAATGTTGAACATGAGGGCAGATCTAAGCACTGTTTGAAGACCACTCATATAAAGTAGTTTACTGACTTCAGGATTTGCTGGAAAGAGTATTGATTTGTTGTAGATTGGTATAGTAATTCCAGCTGTTGGTCAGTCAGTTCCCTCCAGTCTGTGTGTATAGTTAGTACTTCAGACTTTTTTTTTTTTTTTTAACATGACATGATGTAGGTTAACTAAGCTAACTCCAGATCAGTAGATGACCTTGTAATTGATGTAAACAATGTCCAGAAAGACCTGAGTATATTCTAACATATGATTGTGTGGCTATTGGTTTAATTTGAGGTTTTTTGTGTTCTTTTGTATTTGGGTGTGTTTGTTTTTTTTTTCCTATGTCACGTGTTTTTTGAATTATCACAGTAGTTTGTGGGTAGAGAGGAAGGAGTGGAATGTGGTATGTCTCAGTGAGGTTTTGTTAAACTTGCATCTCTAGTCGTTCCTCTTCTGTCTGTCTTCTTTTTCAAATTTCAGATTCTGACTTAGCCAGCAGTTTCCCTGTACTATAATGTAAAACATTCAGTATGAATATTATAATGGCATTATGTAGTAGAAGATACTATATTTTTCGCCTGAAAAATTGAACACTTTTAAATTATTTTCTATACTTTTAACTTGTTTGCACCATTTAGACACTAGTCCCTGAAAGCTGTTTCTAATACCACACATAAAATGCAATTTATTGTTATACATGTTTCTCTTATTTTTTTTTAAATTTATTTTGGTTTTTGTTGTTTGGGTTTTTTTTCATTTTTTTTAAAGTAATCTGAACCTCTCTTCATAGCCTTCCAGCCGTAAGGTGTGTCAAGTTTGTAAATACTTCTGGAGAGAGCAAGGTACAACTGTACTTTATGGAACTTAAGAATTTTAGATGTTACCTATGTAACAATATGAGATTGTATACAGGTAAGAAGTCACAGGATTACAGAGAGGTTGAGGTTGGAAAGGACCTGATGCGATCATCTGGTCCAGTGCCCCTGCTCAAGCAGGGCCACCTAGATCTAGGTGTCCAGGAACATGTCTAGATGGATTTTCAGTGCCTGCTAAGATAAAGACACTAAAACCTTCCTGGGCAGCCTGTTCCTGTGCTTGATTACCCTTATAGTAAAAAAGTGTAAAAAATGTAGTAAAGTAAAAAATGAGAGGGGAAATAAGCTGAACTGGGACTGGGAGATGTGGGTGCTCTAAAGTCCTGATTAAGTCCGCAAAAATAATTGTAGTGTTATTGTTGTGTAAATTGGAGAAAACTACACACTTCCATTCCCCTTTTCAACCTTTTTTGGAAGTGACATGTAATTGTCTTTGTTAAAGAAGCAGACTTTTGTCCAAGCTCAGCAAATGTACAGCTTTGCTTTATTGTAGTGTATGCTTGACACTGTAGGCCTAGCAGTCTGAATGTATTGGCATATATTCAGGATAGTCTAGAGGTAATTTCTTTGCACTCTAGATTTTTTAAGTGATCTAAACAACTGTTAAAAACCAAAAACAAGTATGTAGAACTAGAACTTGCTCAAAACTTACAAAAGAAATTGCCAGCATAGTAAAGCTACCATTCAGCTCAGTAACAAATCTTTTTGTGGTTAAGCAGAAATACTTTTCAGTTGCCTAGTGTTTCTTCATTGTTACTTTAAAAACATTGTGTAATGTTAAAAACTATTAGTGTTAATTTATGACAAGCATAGACTTTGGTTGAAGAAATCAGTGAGTGTGACACTCGTTCATTCACCACTATAGAAGGAATCTTTTATTACCAAAAAATTAGATTTTCAAGTTTCAGTAGGTTCCAAATAAACAACTTCATCTTTTGAGAAATCCTCCATCCCAAATACTGTATTTTCCATGGTTTGATTTGAAATAATAAACAATGCAGGTGCCTTCAAATTTTAAATTTATTTTAAAATTTCAATAATAAGGAAATTAAGCAGAAATTTTAGTTTGTTGTTGGCTCTTCTCTCAAGGTAACAAAATAATTAAAGAAGTGAACTGTTGGATGCTGCTTTTGCTCCTTTTGTTGACTGTTTTCCTCCTCTTAGTACAATTTCATGCCTTGTTGATATTCTAAAGTATTTTTCTCTCTTTTGCTCTCATCCTATATAAATTTCCTGTTTTTTTGTCTTCTAATTTATCTAGTTTCACTGCTTCTTTTATTTTTTTTTTTATTTTTTTTTTATATATATATATATTTACCTCCTGGTTATCTACTCTAATTTTGTGTTCTTCTGGGCTACCTATTCTGTTTCTCAAAGAGAAGAAGCTCACGAAATGTGCAATATTTCATCTCTTCTGCTGTCTCCTAGGTGCTAGAGTTCAGTTGAGCAACAACAGATTATTCATGTTTATTTCCCAGAGGGATCAGAATTACTGTGTACTCAGCCAAAATTGAAATGTGGTGACGGGTTAGTTGGTATTTGTTTGGGTTTTAATTTATTTATTTTTGTGGTGGTGTTTGTTTTTTTTGTAGGTTCTGTTTTGGTTTTTAACATAAACTGTGGTGTGTATAGGAAAATATTCTACTGTTTTGGACAGCCAACAGACAGTGATGTCCCTTGGGGCTCTTAGATCCTGATTGTACCTCTCTTTGAAGAAGCTGTATTTCTAGTTAATATTTACAAAGTGGTTGTACTTGAAATTTACTCTTAATACAACCAGATAGTCTTCAGAGCTGATTGTTTCTTACTTTAAAACACCTTGTCAATGAGATCATGCAATACAGCATGTGAAAGGGTATCTGGACTCCATAGTATGTTGGAAGTAACAGTATTTGTGTTTCTTTGTTTGCACTAATTCTTTTCATTCACTTCTTTTCCACAACGTGCAGTGCAGGGATGCATGAAGCATCACAACTATTTTGCTGAAAAAGCCATATTAATCATGCTTTGGAATGTACAGTACATGAATGATAGAAATTTAATATGACTGCCTGATCAAATTAGCCTTTCCTTTGCCTGGAGGCGTCTGTTAGTGTGTCTACATATTACAGCATGTTTACTTCATGGTGGTAACAGTTTTGTCTTTTTTGTTTTGCATGTACAGCTGGAAGGGCCATGTGTTCTGCAAATACAGAAAATACGCAATGTTGCTGCACCAAAGGATAATGAGGAATCTCAGGCTGCTCCCAGAATGTTACGTTTACAGATGACTGATGGACACACAAGCTGCACAGCTGTAGAATACAGTAGCATGTCAAAAATTAGGTGAAAAACTTTTCAAAGTTTTGCTGTGATGCTTAAATATCCTTGAGATAATGGGAGTGTCCTTAATAATACATGGAAAAATTGCTTGACAAAATTGGTTTCCCTCTCAAATCTCGTATGTAAAGGAGAACCCTAAATTCAGTTCCTGCACCTGGGTCAGGGAAATCCCAAGCATAAATACAGGCTGGGTGGGGAATGGATTGAGAATGTCCCTGGGGAAGAGGATTTAGGGGTGTTAGTTGATGAGAAACTCAAATTGAGCAGGCACTTGCAGCCCAGAAAGTCAGCTGCATCCTGGGTTGCATCAAAAGAAGTGTGGCCAGCAGGTCGATCTACTCTGCTCTGGTGAGACTCCACCTGGAATATTATGTCCAGTTCTGGAGCCTCCAACCTAAGAAGGACAAGAGCCCCTGGAGCAAGTCCAGAGGACTGCAAGTCCTACTCACTTGAAAGGTTATAACTGTGTCCTGTTTTTTACAAGAAAAATCATAGTTCTCAGGTTGTGCCTCTTGTCATATCTTTCAATTATGGGCTGGAGATGGGTGATTCTTGCATGCATCTGCTGTTGTTTTTCATAGGGTAGATGCACATGAGAAGAAAGTGAAGTATTTCCTTGTGGAGGTTGACCACAGAGACAACATCCATATGTTTTTAAGTGACAGAGTAATGAGAGAAGCAGCACTACAAGATAGATGTTTTTAATACATATTCTGGTACAGTCCTAGGTGGTAGTAATTTATAGAAAGCTTCTTTTCTAACAGCTCTTTGTTTCTTCCTAAGTTAAATGTCTAAAACAAATGAGGTGATTAACCATCTGGAGATCCTCTACTTATTAGCTACAAATGCATCCTAGGATAAAGAACTTAGGCAACTGACTTTGAAACATCTTCTGTTAGTCTAAACAAATAACATCCTTAGTTTGGTATCGTTAAATTGGATTTTAACCAAGCAGATGATTTGCAAACATTCATCTCTGTTTGAATCTAATTTGCAATATGGCATTTTTGTGTAATGAATGGGAAGGGTTCCAATAAGGCTATTGAAAAGTGCTGTGCATACTGAAGGAATTACTGCAAAGGTTTTTTACGCTAATTTTTTATTATTAAATATGACAATGTTAAAATTATAATAGGAATATAATTTTATATGGGTTTGGTGGCAGAATATTAGTAAACATATTTGAAATATTTGGCTTTGTTTCTGCTTCTAGCCTGAACACTCCACCTGGAACAAAAATTAAGCTTTCAGGAGTTGTTGAAGTGAGAAATGGATTCTTGCTGTTGGATGACAGTAACACAACAGTTCTTGGAGGTGAAGTGGAGCATCTTATAGAAAAGTGGGAATTACAAAGGGTGAGGTAACACCACTGAAAATGCTTGTCTAAATGGATGCAAATTACAGCTGATGACATCAAGCTTAATGTGTTGACTGTGAACTTTCATAGGATAAGCTTTTAGAACATTATTTTTCCAACATTTTTAGGATGCAGCCAAATATATGTAAATATGGTTTATGTATATTGTTGCAAATATAGAAATGATAAGTACTCTTTGCATGGGAGCTGATGCCTTTCGTAGTCTGCAAAGATTGAAGACATTAATCAAACATATTAAATTGATTTTAGTGCAGTCATGTGTGGTTGCTTTCCTAAACAGTGTTTCATACCAAAATATCATAATGATGCCTTTTACAATTACTGTCTGCAGACTAAGTTTTTGAAGGAAAAAAAAATTACAATGAGTGTAGTGAAAGCACTGAAGTTGGTAACCCTACATTTGAATTCTGTTTTTTAGATTTCATCAGTCCTTTAGGTAAAATTTTAATTAGAAAGACAAATTGGAGGTTTTAATATCTTCCAATGAGTGAGAAATGCTTGTAAGCCCCCTATATTTCTCATTCTCATTTACTAATTGCAGTTTCCCAGAGCATCATTTTCTTTTTCTCTTTGCCCAGCTCGCAGTACATATTCAGCTTCCCACTGTCAATGTGGCCGTGTCAGAAATGCTGTGGGTAACAAGAAAATCAGTTTGGACAGGTGAACTGTGACCACTTGAAAACTGTAGTTCCAGTTCTATATCCAGACTGACAGCACAACGCTGACAGGGCTCAAAAAAGTCTATAGAAGCCAGATGCTGCTTGGATGGTACTTTCTTCATGAACTTGATGTTTCTGTCCTGTTCAGAGAGGTTTACAGAAGTTAGCAAGATTGTCAATTCTCATGGATATCTGAGTGAGGATACTGCCACTTCTTGTCTAATCTTGCCACCAAAGCTTAAATGAAATGTTGAACTGTGTTTGCGGAAAAAAACACAACAGAAAACTTGTATTTCTGTGACTATTTCAAATTACTTGTTTTTAAGCCTTTTTTCCTCTCCCCTACAATGTCTGAGAAGCGTTGATGATGAAGTAACTGTCTTTTATACTTACTGCAAAAGTTAGTGCTATTAAGTAAAATAATATTACAAAACCTTAATTCTAAAGTTGTATGTCCAGTCTTAAATTATTGCCCTTGCACCTACCTGTCAGCTTTGTTTTTTTAAGTGTCACTGGTGAAGTGACAGTAAATAAGTAATTAAGGAGTAAATGAGAAGAGAAATATAAGGTAACACATAGTGGACTTATTTAGATGAGACTGTTTTCCAAATAATTAGTGCTTCATTGTATTCCTAGTGTTCTGGTAGTGGCTGGTGTTTCAAGTGATAAGGATCAGTATCTGAGAGGTATTGCTGGTACACTTCTTACGAAGGAAGAGTACTTGTATTGCTGTTAATCAAAATATCAGTTAATAGGTAAATGAAGGCTGAAACGAATTTTGCTTAAGTGAGACTGGTAAACTTTTATATTTTTAAATCAGAATCTGTCAAATTATGAATTATCTAAAACTACAGTTCTCTAGTATACGTTACGATTTTTCTGTTGTGGTGTAGGTAAGGTTACATGATGGGGAAAAAGGAGTGGTTTTATGTATATTTCAAAATTCATATTAGGTTAGAGGTGTGAGGGTGTAATAATATATAATTTTTAGGAGTTTAGTCTCATATTGTAAACCTTTGTTTCTTAAGATTTCCTAGGAAATAATATTTTTGTCACAGTCCAAATACCAAGGGTAAAAGAGGCACATTAAGTGTTTATAACAAAATTTATTGTTAATTATAGCTGCTGTTGTGCTACCAGCAAATTCAATTGTGAGCTAAAAGATGTTGGTTTTGTTACTAATTTGCTTTTTATTCAGTGCAAAGTGAAATTTACTTATGAGTAAGGCAGTTATTCTTGCTTCTCAGCAGACACTGCTACCTTAGAAGAAAGTGTCAAGGCTGTTACTTAACATGAGGCAGAGTTCTTTAATTCTGGATAACAATTTTTTCCAATAAATTGTTATGATTCAAAATCCATATAGGTAAATGTTAGTAAATAGGCAGTCAATTTTTAAGTGCTTTTTTGCTGTTTGCAAACAATAGTAATTTGAAACAATCTTGTTCTTGTATATTTTCCTTGATTCTGATTTGAGACAGAAAAAAAACAAAAAACCAACAACTTAAACTTAAGCATGTTCTTCCTGATCATAGGACATGAGGAATTAACTATGATCAAATGCTTGAGTTCTTAGGCTGTCCTATAAATATTTTCAGTATAATTTGATTAAGTGCTGGAGTTCATTCCAGAATTGCCTACATTCCTCTGGATCCAAATAAACAAATGAAAAAGTGTAAGGTTTGTCTGACCTAAAGTGAAGCAGCTTGGTCACAAAATGACTGTTGTACTGTGCTGCTTCAGTTAACAGATACGGGAAGGTATGACTGTTCTACAGTGATCAGCCCTTGGTTAGCTCATAATTCTAAGGAAGCAATTTAAGTGAAATGATTTAAACTAAAACAACAACAAAAAAGTATGATTTCTGCTCTTCTAAGTGCTTTGTTTTGAATAATTTATTGAATACTTTATCTGTTTTTTGCTCCAGCACATGAAGAAAAGGAATTTTTTTTTTTTTTTTTCAACCTTGAAAGGAATTAATAACTCTAAATTACTTAGAAAATGGTCTTTGGTTCCTGAATAAAAGTAATTAACTTGAAAAGAGTGAACCAAGTGTTTTGCTTTGCCTTTTACTTAGCCAAATTAATCTCTTAATTATTTTAAGAAATATTCTGATAGTATAATAGTTTAAAGCATATTCACATTTATAGTACAGTTCTCACATGGTAGAATTAAGTCACATCAGCATAATAAATGTACAGGTGAGGGTCATGTATAGCCTTAAGTAATTAAAACTTTCTCTGCCAGTGGGAAGTAGTGAGTGATATATATAATCATGTATGACTGTCCTAGTGGGGAAAAAAGAGATAATAAGAAATGAAGATTCTAAGACAGACACATTATGGGAAATAATATTTTGAAGCATTTTAACAGCATTAAAGACTTATTCACACTTTTTTCACTTCTGAAACCAAATACTTTTGTGTAATATGAAATAATTAACACATAACCAACTGTTGATTCCAGTGTATTTAATTCTCTTGCAGGTTACAAAAAGTGTATTGACTACGAACAGATATTTTAATGCAACATTTTATAAATCCATCTTTGTTTTGAAGCCTGGATTATTGATTGCCTAATTGTGGCTAAGAGTTTAGAGCACTTCTTTTCTGTACAGATTCTGTATCAGAAATTGTTATGCTTATTGTTATGGTGTTTGCTATCCAAAGATGTGCTGATCAGTTTAGTGTATGGCCTTTTCATTGGGAGATTTCCTAGTGGCACAGCATTTTGTTTCCAAGAGTGGCAAAAAGATGGTTTTCAGGGAGAGCACAGAACCTTAGAGGATTAGTCATCCTCTCAGTATTTGCTTATGTGTGGGTTCATGAATTTCACAGAACGGTTGAGGTTGTAGGAGACCTCTGGAGGTGATCTGGTCCAACACCCCTGCTTAAGCAGGGCCACCTTGAGCTGGTTGCTTAGGACCACAACCAGGTAGTTTTATGCTGTTCCAAGGATGGAGACTCCACAACCACCCTGGGCACCCTGTGCCAGTGTTTAGCCACCCTCATGGGATAAAAAGTAGTTTTCTGATTTTCAGAGGGAGTCCTCCTGCAATTCAGTTTGTGCTCATTGTCTCTAGTTCTGTCACTGGGCACTACTGAAAAGAGCTTGGGTCCACCTTCTTTACAGTCTCCCTTCAGGTATTTGTATAAATGAGTAAGATGCCCCTGAACCTTCATTTCTCTAGGCTGTATTGATCCAGTTCCTTTTTAAACATGTGCTTTTTTTAAACTGTGCCTTTACAGGCTCTAGTGACAGCATATTGGGTGCTATGTAAAGACACTGGGTGCAGTGTAAAGAAACCAGGCGCTGTGTAAAGAAAAGAAACATCTGCTGCCTAGTTTATGTTCTGTTTTATTCATTTAGTGTAGATTTTGGTATGCAAATGAGTTTTCTGCATTTGCTGTTTGTGTTGCCTTAATGATTTTGCAAGTTTTCATAATTTTCTTCATCACCCTGCCCTTCATCTAACCTTCCCCTTAAGTTAAGTGCCCCAGGATTTTAACTATATAATATTTTTTTATGCTTAAAATGTTAATCTTTAAAGTTTCATATACTTTCTTAAACAGTTAAATTTTTCATATAGTCTGCTTTCTGTTTACAATTGATCAAAAATTTTCTTTTGCAGAGTTTAGCAAAACATAACAGGAGTAACATTGGAACAGAAGGTGGCCCTCCCCCTTTTGTACCTTTTGGGCAGGTATAGTGTACTTCTTTGTGTCATTTCATTAAAAAAGCTGTATCATGATACCTAGAGGATCTGGTTCTAGTTAGGTAAAAGCTATCAAAACACCTTAGATTGTGATCACTTGGATCTAAAAAATGTGCCTGCTTTAAAAAAATTGCATTGATCCTGTCACTTGGTTGTGCCAATTTAAATTGAACATTTTTCCTCTCAATTTCAAACTTAAAATTTTATTTAGTATGTGGAGCCTTTGATTCTTCTGACGAGATTAGTAGATGCTAACATACTCCTTTCTGAAGCATGTAAGGTATTTACAGGATCATACTAGCTGTATCATGAACTAAGCTTAAAATGTAAAAGTCTGAGTCATTCTTTTCAGCCTTTCTAGGAGACCAGGAAGAGTGTGTTTTCAATAAAGACATACAGATGTCCTAGGTCTGCGTTTTGTAGTCATATTCTTTATCTAAAGTTGTGCTACTCTAATGGAATAATACTTTGTTTTTTTTCAGATGAGAGGAGGCAGGATTATTAACCAAATCTTTTTTTTGTATTTTCAGAAGTGTGCATCTCACATGCAAGTGGATAGCAGAGACCTTGATCGCAGGAAGACTCTGCAAATGACCAATACTGTAAAACCGGTTGCGGATAACGATGAATTTGAAAAGCAGAGAACAGCTGCTATTGCAGAAGTAGCAAAGAGCAAGGAGGTTGGAATGCATGTGTTGCAGCTTTTGACTTACTGTGGTTGATCTTTAGTTGTTAAGTATTTCATTCTTAAATATCAAATGTTTTCGGATGTTTGCCTGCTTATAATTCTACTCCTGTATCTTTAAAATGATGAATCAAAAATAGTCCTTTTGGAGTAATGGGTATGTTCTTATTTTAATAAAGCTAATATGTATATCGTAAACCTTTATTGCATGTACAGTTTTGATTTGATAGCACTATTAAAAAATGTCATTTTTGCAATTTAGTTAAGTTGATTTAAGTAAATGTAGGTTATCCATTTTAATCTGCCTTTTTTTTTTTTTTTTTTCAAATTCTCAAAAAAACATAATTGCCTGCATTCAGTTGGAAAGAATAGCTAGGAAGTTTAGTCGTCATGTGTCAGGGTTTTGTGTTGTCCCTTGGTTTTTGGTTCAGTTTATTTTTCAAATTTGCTTGGTAAGTCATAAAAACTAGAATTATATATCCTTTTTACCATCTCATTTGGGCATAGGGGAAAAAATACCTGCCTAATACAATTGTCTCTTGTGTATGCGTGAGTTTTTGCTTTATTATTTTATGCAAAGCATAATAATAAAAAATACAACTGTATCAAATTCACTGCACTACTTCTACTAGTTAAACAATAGACTTATTTTCATAAGTTCTGTTTACTGAAATGTTATTTTTGTGCTTATCTAAAGACCAAGACATTTGGAGGAGGTGGTGGCAGTAGCAGAAGTAATCTCAGTGTGAACGCTGGAGGGAATCGAAGCAGGGAACTGTTCCAGAAAGAGAAGATAACAAAACCTGAGGGAAAGAATGAAGGTGTCTACAGAGAACTGGTAAGGTGGATGGCTTAAGTGGATCCTTAACTGTGTACTATTAAAAACCGAAAACCAAATGTAACAAAAATAAAACCAAAAATACCCTGAGAAATAAGGGCTTCCCTTTCAATGGATTTTGGAGACTGTTTAGAATACTAAGGGTGTTCTTGCCTTACTGAGTCAGGAGTTCTGATGTGGTTTTTGTAAAAAAAAAAAAAAAAGGATGTTGTCTTGTCCAGTAATATTTAAATCCAAGTCCTCATGAAATAAAAGTAGTAGTATACATGGTAGAGGACATGACAGTGTAGTTCTGTTTGCTTGTTTAAACAAACCTGACAGTTGTGCATGTTAACATTTATTACTTCATTTTAGGCAGAAAGACCTTAATCCTTTAATTTCAAGACATCAAATAATGTTTTAGTGTAGCTTTTATTCTGAGTTACTTTAATATTTCTTTTAAGAATCTCTCTTAAACTATTTCTTTGACCTTAAGAAAACTACATGGCTACTCTAATATTGAAAATAACAAAAGTAGAGATACTTCTGTTGTGACATGAGAATGTCATGCTTACAAGATGGGTTACCATCAGAGAATCTGAACTGTGCCCCTTATTCTAAAACATCAGTTTCTAGTATATTTCAAAACTTAATTTTGCCGAGAAGTGTTGTTTGAGATCACTGCGTTGAATTAAGTGTGTGTGAGATGAGCTGCCGTTGAAGTTTCTTGTTTGATTACTTCAGCAATCTAGAAGTTGTTGATGGAGGATGTATTTGTTATCAAGAACAACCCTGGAGAGGAATTAAGTATGCAAAACAATTAATAAACATGATTTGAATGATGAAAGTAGACTGAAAAAGAACTTGCAACATTGTAGTAACTCAGTAAACCTGTATTACAATATTGATTATAAACATAATTTATTTATTGTTGAATATTTTCTACCTTATTTACTTTTACCAAAGGTTTAACAATGGAAAGACATTTAGGAACAGTAACTGTCTGTTATAATTTTGTTTGTATAGTATATGCCATTGTCTTGCATCAAGGAGAGCCTCCAGCAGTGCTGCCTTTCAGCACTGTGCTCAGGAATGTCTATACAGAATTGAAGAAACACAGGCTGAAGGGACCTCAAGGGATGATTTAGTTGTCCCTCTGCCCTGTGTTACACCTTGTCATTCTTGACAACTATGTCTTGACCTAAGCAGACTTAAAAAAAACCCAATATGACAGACAAAACCCCAAACAAAACAAAAACAAAAAACCCCTACAAAATTAAATAATTGTTTAAAGCATTTTTTCCTTTTTTTTCTATGAACTGCAAGAAATTTGTAAAATGACAGTAATTCCAGCTTATCTAAACTTAGTGTTACGTCATTTGGCATACCTAGGTGCTATTTAGAGCAAGCAAATATGAACCCACTAAGCCTTTATAGACAGCCTTTTTCAACTATAAGTAATGATTTGTATATCTTAAAGTAATAGATAACTAATTTGTTTTGTCTTTTTATAATTGTGACATCATGTAGGTTTGATTATTAACTTCCATGTGCATTGTTAACTTGTGTGTATATTTAAAAACAGTTAAAGGTTTTTAATACATCTGGTGTGTTCCTGTCTGAGATACCTGAAGTGCTGTATATGTAGAGCTATGTAGATATAGGTAATGGAATCACAGAATAGAATCACAGAATGGTTAATTTTGGAAGGGACCTTAAAGATCACCAGGTTCCAACCTCCTTGCTATGAGCAGGGACACCTCATGCTAGACCAGGTTGCAAAAAGCCTCATCCAACCTGGCCTTAAACATCTCTATGGAGGGGGCTTTCACAACCTCCCTGGGCAACCTATTCCAGAGCCTTACTACCCTCACAGTGAAGAATTTCTTCTTTCTTCCTAAATCCCCCTCTTTCAGTTTAAAATCATTACCTATCACTTGTCCTGTTTCTACCCTTTCTGGTGAACAGCCCCTCCCCAGCTTTCATGTAGGCCCCCTTCAGATACTGGAAGGCTGCTCTAAGGTCTCCCTGAAGCCTTCTCTTCTCTAGGCTGAACAGCCCCAACTTTCTCAGCCTGTCTTCATAGCAGAGGTGCTCCAGCCTTTTGATCATCTTTGTGGCTCTTCTCTGGACCCTCTCCAACAGTTAGTTGCATGTCTTTCCTGTGCTGAGGGCTCAAGGACTGTACACAGTACTCCAGGTGAGATCTGACCAGAACAGAGTAGAGGGGCAGAATCACCTCCCTGGCCCTGCTAGCCACTCTTCTTTTGATGCAGCCCAGGATATCATCATGTTCTGTAAACTTTAGAATAAGAAGGCCTGTATTTCTGCAAGAGTAAGTTGTTTGTATTTCTTTCTTCTACAGAAGCTTTTGTAGTTATTTTTTTTCCATGTTTTACGAGCCTATAACTGGGTTTTGCCTTGTCTGTGAAAAGGGTTCAAATAGGAACAAATAGCTTGTTTTTATACCACTATTACTTGGAGAGATTCCCTTTAGTTTTCCTTTCAGAGAAAGTACATTACAAGCTATCAATACTGTTCCAGTCTACAGTGTAAGAACAGTAATCTAGGGGAGTTTACGCTTTAAACCACTTAGTATTAGAATTGAAAACTGATAAATTAGAAATAATCATAATAGTATTAAAAAAACCCCTATAGTTACTGATTGTTTGGACCTAAGAGAGAGACCGTATGTGAAGATTTTATATAAAATGGAAATATTTATCATCAATTAAATATGAAATCATGTTTCAGTTAAAAATTAATGAAAACTTAAAGTCCAATCTCGTATTCGTATATGAGAGTCTCTGTATCTTACAATTAGTTCTATGTGTACCTTTTGTTTCAGGTTGATGAAAAGGCTCTAAAACACATAACAGAGATGGGTTTTGGCAAAGAAGCAGCAAGACAGGCACTTATGGATAACAGTAACAACCTAGAGGCAGCATTAAATTTTCTTCTGAACAGCAGTAAACAGAAACCCATTCAGGGACCACCACCTAGAGGTAAAACTTGCAAAGAAACACTTTCTAACAGTGTCTACAAGCAAAAGAGTTTGTGTATGGTGAATGACAAATGTAGTTATGTAAGGACATGTCTGCATGTTTTTTTCCTGCGTCTAGAATGCATTGCAAACCTGAAAGCAAATATTTAGAAAAGGCCTTTATGTATTATATTCATGTAAAAAATGTTTAATTTCAAGACATAGATATGAATATTCTGAACTGTAAAATGTAAGGTATCTGTTTTGTCTATTATATAATCTTTAAAGATAGAAAATACAAACATTTTGTAAATAAAATAGTGTGTATACTTTTAATTTTTTTTCTTCACTCACAAATAACTTTTTATGTTTACAGGTAAAGGGAAGGGCCGAGGCCGAATAAGACCTGAAGATGAAGAAGAGCTAGGAAATGCCAGACCATCTGCACCAAGCACACTGTTTGATTTCTTGGAATCCAAAATGGGTACTCTAACAGTAGAGGGTAAGTTATTGAAATTAATGTATCTGGAACCAATATTGGATGGTGTTGGTGGAATTCTTTTTACTAACTTCAGCATCTAAAAGGTGGTTCCTGGAACTTCCACTGTAGTTAGCCATGAAAATCACAAGGAGTGCCAGAGAGCTCTTTCACTTCTTTGAAGAAAAGTCAAATAAATCACACTGTTGTTGGTTATACTTCTGTCTTGATTATAGAAGAACTTAGGGCATTTTTTGTCAGGCTTAGATGTCTGAAAGGCAGTAAGTCCTAGTTTATTAATATGATTTGATAAAGACTCCCTCAGCTCTAATGGACTTCCATGTTCAGAGGTAAAAAAAGAAAAAAAATGTAACTGCAGCCATTCTTCCTCAGTTTATAATCAAGAAGTTTGGTGTGCTTCCCAATTAATCGTAGTAATTGTGGTAAGCTTAATTGGGTTTGTATTTTCTCTGTGGAGGGGGAAAAAAATCTTTTTGGGTGCTATTTAAAGAACTATTTTCTTCTGGTTTTCCAATTTAATAACTGTGTAAGGATTGAGAGACAGGTATGATTTTAGAGGGAAGCAAAATAAACCGTCAGATTTAATGCAAAAGATTTGGGTTTTTTCTTTTATGTCCTTTTACTTGCTTTTCTTTCTGAAGAAGCCATACAGAAGTGTAGTTTATGCACCAGGATGTCTGTTTAGGTCTAAATTATTTAGTACTTTGGAAACTTGAACAGGCAGATGCATTAAAAGAAAAAAGAGGAAAATCCATACATCCTGAGGTCTCCAGAGGCTGCTGTAATATTAAAGTAAAACTCAAAGTAAGTTCAGTTGTAAATGGAGATCACTTTTGCATATGGCCTCGGAGGTGTTTCAGTGGCCAGCATAAAATGAAAATATTTGCTTCCATTATTTAACATGAAGGTTTTGTGATGGAGTTGTAATTTTTATCTCCCCGTAAAATAACACTTTATAAAAAGGGTACAAAAAGGTCATACTGGTTTATAGGAACAGTTTGATATTTTTTAATTTTCTAAGGAATGAGTGCATTTAAGGATTGACTGCATCTAGATGTATTTATTTTTTTAGCAAGTTCTAGAACAGTCTTTGTCAACTGGTCATAATAGATTCCTGTTTTCTGTATTTTCACTGGATTTGGGCTTAAACAATAACAAAACAACAACAATAAAAAAAAGGTTAAAAAACCCCAACCAAACTAGTATGGAAGAAGTGGAAGACAAACTTGTAGAAAGTAAAACTGAACAAGTTGCCCTCTTGTGAAAGATATGGCTGACTGTAATGGGATGTTACTCTCCCCCTCTGTTCTACTCTAATGAGATCCTGCCTGTAGTACTGTGTCCAACTCTGGAGCCCTCAACAGTAGAAGGACATGCAGTTGTTGGAGCAAGTCCAGAGAAGGGCCATGAAGGTCATTAGAGGGCTAGAGCACCTCTCCTATGAAGACAGGCTGAGAATTGGGGTGGTGCAGCCGGAGGAAGTGAAGGTTCAAGAAAGACCTCAAACCAGCCTTCCAGTATCTGAAGGAGGCCTACAGGAAAGCTGGGGGTGGGACTTTTTAGCAGGGGCTGTAGTAATAGCACAAGGAGTAATGGCTTTAAACGGGAAGAGGGAAGATTTAGGAAGAAAGAAGGTACATTAGGAAGAATTCTTTAGTGTGAGGTTGTTGAGACACTGGCACAGGTTGCTCAGGGAACCTGTGGATCCCTTCTCCCTGGAAGTGTTGAAGACCAGGTTGGATGGGTCTTTCAGCAACCTTGTGTAGTGGGAGGTGTCTTAACGATGCCTTGCAACCCAAACCATTCTATGATAAAATACTTTTCAAATATACAAGCATTCTGTATCAGCTGATGCAATTTTCTACACTGTTCAGGTGAATATAATTGCATTTTCAAAAGCTGCTGGAAATTGCGCTTGAGATACACCTTAAGACAACTCATTTCACTTACCAAAGATGAGATGGATTTTTACAGTGAACAGAAATGAAAACAGTTGTGTTGTTTTTCTCTCATATTAGACATGGGTTTTTCTTTGAGTAAATTTTGTGCTTATATGGACAGATTAGTTGAGGCTTTTATGTGTGACTAGAAGACATTTGAAGGAAAATTAATAAAAATAATCCCTGTGGGATGTATGTCTTATTACCAATAACTTATTGCAAGTAAGTAATAGTAATTTCTCAAGAATTGGGAAATGAGCGATCTGCTTCTGTTAAGATAATATAGCTATTTTTTAGTGTTTGCTTAGGGGGACTTTCATGACCCTTTCTTTGGGTTTACTCCATGTATGTAGTCAACTTGTTGTAGTGTAATAAAGCACTATGTGCTGTACTGTGCATGGTGTTAGGTGAGTTAAAAAAAATTATAATAGCATATACACTACAGTTTATAACCTTCAGAATTGTGTTTCAAAGATAAATACACTTTGCTAATGTGTATTTTTTCCCTCTTAAATTGAAAAAAAATTATTCTATAAATATCATAAGAATAAAACCATAGTTCTATGAAAACTTTGTAGAGGCTTTGTCCTCCCTTAGTGGTCAAAAGTTCTGCCATATTTCCTAACATGATAAGCAGGGCTTTTGTTTTGTGTTTTTTAACTCTATGTTGGTTTTACTAGCATTCTCTGAATGATAAGTAAGCAATCTGACATACTATTCCCCAGTTCAAGGTTGAAGGGGTTTTTTTGGTTGCATAAAGAAGAGTGTGGCCAGTAGGTTGGGGGAAGTCATTCTCTCCCTCTACTCTGCCCTGGTGAGGCCACAGCTGGAATACTGCATCCAGTTCTGGGCTCCTCAGTTCAGGAGAGACAAAGAGCTACTGGAGAGAGTCCAGAGGAGGGTGACAAGGATGACAGGGGGATTGGAGCATGTCTCTTATGAGGAGTGGATGGAAGAGCTGAGACTCTTTAGCCTGGAGATGAGAAGGCTGAGGGGAGACCTTATCAATGTATGTATCTGAAAGGTAAGTGCAAAGGAGATGGAGACAGGCTCTTCTCAATAGTTCCCAGTGTTAGAACAAGAGGCAGTGGGTACAGGTTGGAACACTGAAAGTTCCATTTAAATATGAGGAAAAATTCTTTACAGCGAGGGTGTCCTAGCATTGGAACAGGCTGCCCAGGGAGGTTGTGGAATCTCCATCTCTGGAGATATTCAAAACCCACCTGGATACAGTCCTGTGTAAAGTGTAAGGTTATTCTAATTCAATGGGAGGTTGGACTAGATGATCTCTGCAGGTCCCTTCCAACTGCAACAATTTCTGCGATTCTGTGAAAAAACAAAGCTTGTTAGCATTTTTAAGAGTTCAGAGAGTGTTCAGATTTTTGTTTAATCTCTTTTTAAGTATTTCTGCCTTTTTTCCTTGTAAAGAAATAATAATGCATGTTGTTGTACTTTCTATTATTTGAAAGTCAGCGGGCTTTATATTGGTTGTTTAGTTTAATTTTGTTAGTTTTTATTTTCCTTATTGAATGTGTTTTTCTGTCCCAGGTTTTATTTTTATCTTTCAGTCTACTTCAGATGATTTTTTCAAGAAACACATAGGCATATGCTGAGTTGTGGGCTTTTTGTCTCTTTAAAAAGTGGATTTTTCTCCTTTGCCAAGTTGGAGAGTGTGTATGCAGTCTGAATTCAAATACATCTTTAAAATATTGAAAGTATTATTTTTCAGCCATTTTCATGCCTCTGACGTTGAAATTTCTCATTTAAATTCCTAATTATTAGTTGTCTTAATGTTCCATGCTAACTGTGATTACATGCATGTTAATAGTGTTGGCTGAGTGATGATGTATCTTCAGTGATTGCACTTAGCATTGTGAACACTTTCATCCTGAAGTCTGCATCCAAGTGTTTGCAGAAAATGGGATATCTATTACTAGCACCTTTTCAATTTTGTGTGATCCTGTCAGTTGTTAGCAATAGAGACATGTAGTTCTCTCTTAGTATTAGAAAAATAGTGGTTTGAAATGAAAGCCACATCAGGGAAACTGTTAAAAACAACTCAAATATGTAACATTATAGAGCCCAGAATAAGTTATCTCCATTAATTCTTCTGCACAGCAGCTGTACTAAGCAGGCAGAAACACATAGGCAGGTGTTTCTCCATTTATATGAAGCATAGTGCAGCCTCCACTGAATATAAAAGAATAGTCTTTGTTCTGCAGTATTTCTGGCCCCTTGTCATTCTCTGTGCTCTCTAAAATCCCAGTTTGATTTAGATATTCAGAGAGATGGCCTTTGTATAGGGATAGTGATTTTGAATAAATGAACACATCTCTACTGTTATGCTAATAAATATGATGACCTGGAATAGCCATATTTATCATTATCATAAGTATTAGGTTTTCTATACACTTTAGACAGATTGAAATGTCTTCTAATTGACTGTGAGTCTGTGTAGAGGCAAAAACAAAAAGCAGTTTCGCTGAACTGAGATAAATTTGATTATCTCAAAGGTCTTTTCTAACCAAAATGGTTTTGTGATCCTATAAATATTTTTTTTAATTCCATGCCATGCCACATTTCCTTCAAAAATTACTTGTTTATTTTCAAGCATACAGAGGATTTATCTGCTTTTCTCTGTGCAGCCCTCCTTGTTTTTCTTACCTAGCATTTCTGATTGCACTTGAAAACTCAGTACTGTTAAGAATTTCTAAATTCACTTCTAGATTTGCAGTAATCAGACAGTAAGATAAATTGAAATACCTTTTTATTTTGTTTAGAAGGTACTTTTTAGAGATAAGACAATACATTAAACATTTCCTTGTTTGGTTTTTAAAGAAGTACAAATTAGTTGTAAGAAAGTAAAGTGTTACTCTTTTGCCTTGTAAGAGGTGTCTCATCATTTTTAATTTTAAATGGTTGGTGACACCTATTCAGATATTCAAATTAACTAATTTGAGTTTTGGTTGGAGAGAGAAACCTGCTGACTGAGAGATAACAAAAATAGCAGACAAAACTGCTGTCAACCAGCTGCCTTTGCTTGAATTCAGATCATGTCTACTA